CGAAAGCCGTCATTAAATATTGTGCCCTTCCTAGTTTGTCTAAAATTGAATTTATATTTGGAAGCGGGAAACTGTCGTCTATAGTTATCTCATTTAATTTTCTGTAGTCAACAACGATTCTATACTTCTTCTCTCCAGAATTATCCATTTTCTTCGGAACTACAATTAATGGACTTGCGTATCTCGAGCTACTTTTTGAATTATTCCTTGCTCTTCCATTTGTTTTATTTGTCTTCTTACTTCTTGTTCGTGTTCTGGTGGATATCTATATAATTTAGCCTTCATTTATTCATCTGTCGTTGTCCTAATTTCATGTTTTATGTCCATAGTGCTAGTCGAAATGTCACCTTCCATAAAAAATAAGTTTTTGAATTTGTTAACGATTTTTATAATTTTATCCAATTCTTGTTTTTAATGTCCTAATTCAATTCTATTCCAGTCAAATTCTGATACTTCTAATGAACATATTTGAATATTTTTATATGGATTTATAACAAAGTTTGTTATTCGGTTATTGAAAGACATTTTGCTGTCGAAAATATTAATTACTGCATTAAATGCATTCAATAAATCAATACCTATTATAATGTTATATAATATTATTTGTCCTTTTCTACACTCAAATTGCTCTGGTATTTCCGTATATATTTCACTTTTAATTTTTATATCTTTTGAAATCCTTTATATTTTCGTCAATAATGCTAATGCTTGCACTTGTATCTATTAAGGCTACGTAATGTTTATTCTTTATTGTTAAGTTTATCATTGGTAAAAAGTCTGATGTTGTGTTCAAGAATATATTATTTTTTTATCATATCCTGTTTCTCATCTTGATTAAAGTTGTCTTTTATTTCACACTGATTTACTTCTTCATTATTAATATTATTCTTGCTTTCTGTTAATCTATAAAAAGATCCTTCTTGTGGAAATCTTCTTGAATTCTTTGCTTCTATATTATCGACTTCCATTGGCTCAGCGTGGTCTTGCCAAGGTTGATTTCTGCAATATTGACCGGAATATTGCCCTGGGTGTCCTACCTGTGCTAAACGATGAAAATGTTCTGAATTGTTGTTCTGATTTCTATATTTTTTGAAGTTTCCTGAATTATTATTTCTATTTCTAAAATTTCCTGAGTTATTATTTTGATATCTATTAGATTCTGCTCTGTTAGGTTGTCCGTTAAAATGTCTGTTATAATTATTATTATTATAAAAATTATTATTGTTTCTATTGAGGTTATTATTATTATTATTATTGAAGTGGAACTCTTGAACTCTATTCATTTGATAAAAGTTTCCTCGATTTCTATTTTTAAAATTATTATTATTAAAATTGCTATTGATTTTTTGAGATTTAATTTTTTTGTATTCATCTCTGTTACACGCATTTTCAAAGCATCTTCTTGTTAGTATTCTTAGGATGTCATTTATATACTTTTCTTCATATATTTTGTCTAATAACACACCATGTGTCACCTCTTTAACTGTATTAACTAGCAGACTGTCTATATTGGATAAATCTATATAATTATCGTCTTTATAATAAATAATTAGTTCATTCGTTTTATATTTTATATTTTGAATTTCTACTATAAGTTCACTTACCACTTACTTGCGATGACTTTATAGAGTTGATGTGGTTCGATGGTTGGCCTGTATCGCAGCTTTAGCGTCTCCTTGATAAGTTTCCAGTTGTCTGGTACGGGTATACTGCGGCAATAACATTTAGACCTGAGGTCTTTGGTTTAAAAAAAAAAATAAAACAAGTCCTTAAATGAACTTCACAAATTGAGTGTTGATTTCAGACTGACTTTATTTAATTTTAAAATGATTTTACATTAATTGCTTCATTTGCTTATTTTGCTAAATTAGTAAAAGTGTGTTTCGAAACAGACAGGAAGTTGTATTAAGTTACTGTCTGGCTTTTTTAGTTATAGAATTGATGAAGTCGTCAAATTTATCTTGTTGTTGGGTGTTTGCATATGTAACTCGCGTTTGGGCATAACCAACAAGCAACAACATGTATGCGCAAGTGATGCTAATGCAGTCGTGAGACGTAAACAAGTAGCAACAATTTGCTTATACGAAGGATTCCAATGGACGTGAAGAACTAGCAACAATAAGCCCTTTGTTGCTAATACAACGCAGAAGACTATAAAAGCGGCCCGTCATAACAGAAAAAGGACGGTCAGTGAATGTAAAAAGTGGTGGACACATCAGTGAGTCGTGAACAAAAAGCATCCTGCAACTTGTGTGTAGAGTGGTTGGAGTTATACAGAAGACTCAGTCTTTTGTGCGGGTATTTGCAAGATTTGATCCGTGAATTTATCCGTTCGTATAAGTGTGTTTCGTACGCCACTTATAATTCCCAGTTAAGCCGTTTCCTATAAGTGTGTACGCCACTTATAAATCCGAGTTTAGGCATTTGGTATAAATATGTTTCGTACTCCACTTACCATCCGAGTCCGACAGTTTCCAATAGGTGTACTTCGTAGGCCGTTTATATTTCGGGTCCACGCTTAAGGAAGGAGTGCTTCGTACGCCGATCCCGAGTTGCCATATACATTCATCCATCACTCCAAAGCCACAACCAACGAATCACCACTGCCAGCGATCTCGCCTCGACGTGTGTTCTCTTCGCCACGTCTATTTGCCCTTTCGAGCCGCAGGAAGCCCTGAGGATAGTAACCGAGTTCCGTATAAGGTCTCGATGCTAAGCCTACGGAATATTCCCGTTGGATCTCTGTCAAAAACCCAGAATAATAAAAACCTGAAATAAAATTGACCACAGCATTGAGATTTTTAGCGCAATGACGGAAATGCCATCAATATTTCCATTGTATAACCCACTGTGGGAGTTGTATTCAAGGAAATTTCGGACTGACTGACTTTGGATGACTTTTTAACATTTTTTTCTGAACGCGTTGTTACATCAGCGCATTCCAACAGGACTCAGCACTAGCGCGCCCAAGAGTGGTTACAAAATGAGGTTCCTCGCTTCAATTCCAGCGCACAATGACCACCAAAATCTCCGAATACCAATCCTTGTGTCTGAAGTATTTTGAAAAGCAAGGTTGGCAATAAAAACTACCAAAGTGTCAATCACCTAAAGCAAGCGCTTCGCCGGGAATGGGACAAAATACCGCAGAGCAAAATTTGGACAGCTTGTGGCGGTTTTATTGGCCGTTTGAAGGCCATAAGGTGACCAAATAAAACAATTCTAAACATATTCTAAAATTTGATGTTATTTTCCACATTTACTCCCTGGAAGAGAAATGTCTAGATATGTCCACGATATCGTATAGCCCACATACAATGGTACGACCCGATATTCGATATTTTGATATTTTAGGTACAATATTCACCGAAATTGCTTGAAATTTCGTATTTGAAGTTCCTAATAGGCAGAAAATTGTCTATGCATGTCCAGGTCTTAGTGTAGCCCCAATATGACGGTACCTACATTGTTCACCGCATTTTTTAAACCCTCCAGCATACATAGTATGTAGGGTATATTAAGTTCGTCATTCCGTTTGTAACTCATCGAAATAATAATTTTAGACCCAACAAAGAATATATATTCTTGATCAGCGTAAAATTCTAAGGAGATGTAGCCCTGTCCGTCCGTCTGTTGTAATCACGCTACAGTCAAAACGAATAAAGATAGGAAGCTAAAATTTTTGCACAGATCTGTCTTTTGTCTGCAGGCAGGTCAAGTTCGAAGATGGACTATATCGGTCCACGATATCGTATAGCCCTCATATAACGGTATCCCTCGATATTCGGTATTTTAATGATTTTAGCCACATATTTCAACGGAATTGTCTGAAATTCTACACAAGGAGTTCCTTGTGGGCACTTTACCCCCTGAAAGAGAATTGTCTATATAGGTCCACGATATCGTATAGCCCCCATATAACGGTACCCCTCGATATTCGGTATTTTGATGATTTTAGCCATACATTTCAACGGAATTGTCTGAAATTCTACACAAGGAGTTCCTTGTGAGCACTTTACCCCCTGAAAGAGAATTGTCTATATAGGTACACGATATCGTATAACCCCCATATAACGGTACCACTCGATATTCGGTGTTTTGATGATTTTAGCCACATATTTCAACGGAATTGTCTGAAATTCTACACAAGGAGTTCTTTGTGAGCACTTTACCCCCTGAAAGGGAATTGTCTATATAGGTCCACGATATCGTGTATTTTGATGATTTTAGCCACATTATTCAATGGAATTGTCTGAAAGTCCACACAAGGAGGTCCTTGTGGGTATTTCACCCCCTGCAAGATAATTGTCTATAGTGGTCCACGATGTCGTATAGCCCCCATATAACGGTACCCCCGATATTCGGTATTTTGATGATTTTAGCCACATATTTCAACGGAATTGTCTGAAATTCTACACAAGGAGTTCTTTGTGAGCACTTTACCCCCTGAAAGGGAATTGTCTATATAGGTCCATGATATCGTGTATTTTGATGATTTTAGCCACATTTCTCAATGGAATTGTCTGAAATTCCACACAAGAAGTTCATTGTGAGTACTTTTCAGACTTAGATTTGTCTGTATAGGCCCCCAGACGTCCTATAGGTCCACAATATTGTATATAACCCCAATATATCGGCACCTTACGATATTCGGTATTTTTACGATTTTAAGAGAATTTTTAATTGATTTAATTTTTTTGAAAATTTCCTAATTCGTTCCAAATGGTGGAGGATATTCAAAGTCCGGCCCGGCCGAACTTACTGCTTTTTTACTTTTTTTCATGTTTTGTATTTGAATATTGTAATGGCTTATGACAAAAGTTGCTTATGCATGTCCACGTTTTCGTATAGACCCCAATAAAACGGCTATATTCGGTATTTTTAAGATTTTAACAGAATTTTAAACGGATTTTATACATATTTTTTTTCTTAATTTCCAAAATTTGTTCCAAAAAGGAAAATAAAATAAAATTAAAAGTACGGCCCGGCCAAACTTAGCTGCATTTTTGTATTAAAGTGTTTTTATTTGTCTTTTTTCTTTAGAGTGCATGTATGTATTTCAGTCACGTTCTTATATTATATATAAAAAATATATATTTAAAATTCATTGTCTATTAACCAGTCTGTTTTAACAATTAAATAACATATGTACGTATATTGATGACTTAGACGTAAATTTCCTAAAATAGTTTCCTTTGGTTTTAATTTTGAACAAGCGGTGAATGGAGATGCCAGTCAGCATTTTCCTAACCCACTGGATAATTTTGGGTTTCTGTACAATTCATTCATCTGCTTGCTCAAAAATGACGGGATGCTAACACATACATAATGGCATCAGGCCACATGTACTTGCTGTGTCTATAACAACTTCAATTATGAGGTAACACGTTCTATTTGTATGGTGCTATGTTTAATTTTGTACTTTGAATTGCTGGCCAATTGTGTGGCCTTCTCTAGGACCGTGTTGCTGTCGGCTAGAAAATCTGTTAGCGAAATTACAAAGAGTAAGGATTTTATTATTTACCATGAAGGATGAATGGGATTGTGTGTGTGTGTTTGCTTACCTATGACTAAGTGAACCATTAAAATACTATAATTGGAGGTATGATTCCAGATGTTTAGGTGATGAACAGATCTTAAATAAATAGAGTCATTGTTTAAATACCTCTAAAAATAAATGATTTCAGGCTTACTTGACTCCTTCGATATTGAGTAAATCCATTTCGAGATCATTCAATGATACTCCCTGAGGTACTGAATCCAATAATATGTAGATTGACTCCTTAAAAAGGTTTATTGTTGTCATTATGACAATTATTGAAAACAATATTGTACATAGAGGGTCGAGAATCTCCGCCTTAGGCTGCAAAGATAATATAAAATATGGTATAATATGTAAATAATATGTAATAACAAATGACAATATATAAATTTATGCCAAATTAACAAACCGAAAAATGTTAAAATTAAGAGTGTCTAGTCGAAATTAGTTTAAGCGTAAAAAAATCTAGAAGGTGGAAAATTGAAAATATAGAGTACCCGTAAATTTTTTGTGTTAGTTCGAATTTTTTAATCGACCGTCGAAGTTTGCTTTCACTTATCAATTTCAAGAATATTAAAAACTCTGTATTACAAGCTAGTCAATTTTTATACCCTACAACACTATGTGTTGGGGGTATTATAAGTTTGATTGGGCCAGAATTTATGTAACACCTCGAAATAGTGATTTCCCATATAGGAAAGTATATATGGATCTTCCTAGCTCGCCGAGCTGAGTCGATCTAGCTATGTATGTCCGTCCGTCCGTCTGTCCGTCTGTCCGTCTGTCCGTCTGTCCATGTTAATTTGTAATCACTCTACAGGTCGGAATTATGGTCCGATCTTCACGAAATTTAGAATGTAGGTGGGGCTTGGACCAGAATAGAACCCTATTGCTTTTGGAGATGATCGCCAAATGTTTAGGGGTTGAAATGGATCAAATACTGAAAAAATGTCGGATTTTGCAGTAGCTATACAGGTCGCAATTATGGACCAATCGACGCGGAATTTTGCATGTAGCTGGAGTTCAGGGAGGGGAAGAAGCCTACCAATTTGGGTGGGCATCGGATAATATTTAGCGGGTAAAATAGATTATATATTTTGTGTTGAAAAATTTAAAATTTTTCATTAAACCGTGAATATTTTAAATCCCGGCGAAATCACAAAGCCATCAGAAGGTTACTTCCGACCTTTACATTGATGTTAACATCCAACAAATCGGATATATAGCAAAATATGTGTGATATATATGTCTATCAAAGAAGATATGCTTGAAAGATCTCTTATATGTCGAGAACGGCTGAACTGATTTCGACAGTTCTCATTAATTTAGAATGGTCTCTTGGCAGGAAAGAAACAACGTCTAAAAGAATCGCATAAAAATATCTCTCTAAAGATGAAAACATTGATTTTGTAAAATTTTCTCATATTTTTTCAATTTTGTCATATTTTTGGCATATTTTCATTTTGAATTAAACATTTGGTAATATTTCTACAGCTAACAAAACTAAGTAGTTAGGATATCAGGATATCATATACAGATCGCATTTATGGCCCGATCCTTACGAAATTTTACATGGGGATAAGATGAGGGTCATAATAGATGCCTACTCTTTTTGGAGATGATCGCCGTATATTTAGGGGTTGAAATGGACCAAAAAACTGCAAAATTGCAGGTCGTAATTATCGCCCTATCCTCACGCACATTTGATTGGGGGTTACCCGACATTGCAAAAACCAAGCAGTTTTGGATAGCCATCCAAAAATATTCAATGTGTGAAATAGTTTCCCAACTTTTGTAGATAAAATACGAAAATGTCCATTCCAGTGACTTTTTGGAGAATTCACAAATACAGGAAAGACACACTTCTGACTATTTCGTTAACGCTGATTTCGTTGAAGAATATAGTCAAATGTCTGTATCTCATATAGATATGTTTCAGTCAAAAACCAATAATAAATGTTAATCTTTTGCCACTTCTGAGAGATTATTGGTCTTTGGGAAATATTGGTTCCAAATCTAGGAAGACCATTTACGTGCAACATCTACCTATAAATTGGAAATGAGCAAATTAGTTTAAGTTGCTATTATTCGAAAATTAGAGAACGAAACCTGATGGTTTTCTTTTATTATTTGTCACAATATCTTGTGGAATTCTTTCGAGTATCTCGCCTATATAAACTGTATCGTTTATTATAGTGTTGTAGGGTATTGAACGGTCGGCCCCGCTCGACTGTAGCCTTTGCTTACTTGTTTTTATTAAAATGTTGTATTTTTGGCTTGAAACTGTTCGAAACGGTGCGCAATTTAAAGCTTTAATAAAAATCAATGAATGCAAACAAATAAAAAGTGCAGATTTTATTGGTTTTTGTAATTTTCGAAGAATTATTTATTTTCCCCGGGGTAAAGACGGCGGAAAACATTTTTTTGTATTTCACGATTTAACCATTTTTACGTTCGCATTTGTTAAGCGTTTTTATAGAAAATCGACATTTGACTGCAAATTAAAAAAACGACATGGGCGGTTTGTTCTCTTTTTTCACCCACCATTTTCAGAATGGATTTAATTTTTGCAAATCAAAATTTGTTTCACAGTAATATTTTTATAGGTCATTTCATATATGGCAATCTAGAGAGCTACTTTCAATTCTACAAAACTTGTAGCACAGTACCAATATTGTGACTGACTGGCTGATTCATGAACGCTCAGACGATACGGCTGAAGCTAGAATATTGAAATTTTGCATGTAGATAAATGTACAGGGTGAGATAAAAAAACTGCAACAAAGTCAAACATTTTAATTTTTAATTTTTTTTTTAAATTTTATTGAATGAGTGTAAAAATGTTAGAAATAGCAAATTTTAGAATAAGTGTAGATTTGTTCGAATTTGTCACCTTTGGCACGAATTATGGTCTTCAAATGGCCAATGAAACCGTCACACGCTTCCCGAAAGTTGCTCTGCGGTATTTTGGCCCATTCCCGGCGAAGCGCTTGCTTGAGGTGATCGAAACTTTGGTATTATTAGTGCCAACGTCGATTTTCAAAATACTTCAGACACAACAGTTCAACGGATTGGTATCCAAAGATTTTTGTGAGAAACCTCACTTTGTACCATTCGCGTGTGTGGCGCGTGCTGAGTGCGATGGCGCTGATTCTTCTTGGAATGTCCAAGGTCTGCGGCCAAAATGTTTGCGTGCCCAATGCCTAAATACACCCTCCAGAATATTTTCGCGATAATATTCTGATGCCACGGTCGATTAATAAAAAAAATAAAATTTTCTGCTGACCTCTTTGGCAAGTAAACACGATCATTTTGTTTGTTTACAAACTGCTGGACAACAAATGTTTTCTCATCGGAGAAAACCAAATTCGGCAGTTCACCACTTTCGGCCAAGCGATGCAACTCTTCAGCTCTTTTAAATCTATTTGCTTTCTGTTGCGGTGTAAATTTTTGCACTTTTTGGAATTACAAAGGCTTTACCCCGAGCTCATTTTTCCATATTTGCCGAATGGAATATTGCGATATGTTCAGCTCACGAACCATTTTTCGGTCGCTGTGACTTTTCGAACCATTTCTGCTGATGTTGCTGTTTTCTTCCGTCCACTTCCTTGACGTCGGGCTACGCTACCAGTATCACGGTAACGAGCGATGGTACGAGATATATACGATTGATTCGCATTAAAATGCTGGAGTGCTCTAACAATAGCCACTTGTGGTTTTCCAGCAAATATAAAGAAATCACACTATCGCGCTTGAATTCCATCACGAATAACTTTTTTTCTGGAGAATTCTCACCAAAATGCTTTTGTACGCTTGTAAACAATATAACGAGCTGTCACTGTAATAATTTAGCAGCTGTCGGACGAGTGGCTTAAAAATTACAGCAGTCTGAAGTTGGTTACAATTTTTTCATCTTACCCTGTATGTAAAAAAGCTCATATTTTGGAATTAGGATCATTTCTAATTAGTATTTTTTTTTTCGAAAACGGCAGTAACCAAATATTTCATCACATATTATAACTCTAAATAGTCATATGAAATAGAGTTTCAAAATGGATATATAAATGTGGCTTATCATAAAGTGATAAGTCTATTTTAAAAGGATAGTTTTATTTATGCCTTAAAACACTAAGCGTTCCTTTAGACAAAGTGTGCAAAATTAAAAAAAAAAAATGTCCTTTGATTAAAATATTGTGATTTTCAGAATAAGCAGAAAACTAAATGTCATACATACATATATTTTAATAAATATTGAGGCTATGAAGACTCCAGAACTTTGCACCAGGTCACCAATTGCGTGAATCATTGCCGCTCTCAGATTGAGATTTTTCTCGTTTCTGAAAAGAGTATAAAATAATAATAAAATAAACGTCAGATTAAAAATAGCAAATCTAAACAAAAATCTGTCAGCTATATACCTATGTGACAAGTCTTTGAATGGGACAAGTCTGTATGCAAATTCATGCATAGTTTATTTAGTAACAAAATAAAAATAAAATCTGATGAGAATGTTACAAGGTTCTCGAAATATTACGCACCGGTCGTACGTGACATTAATTTAAAATGAAGGCCACATTTGCAAAGTGTCCTTTTAAAGTCATCTACCAAAGCTGGGTGCGAAGCGTTCGTTCTATCTGTTTTGTTTTTCCCCGTGTTGTTTTTTTTTCGTTTTTCACATTCAAATGCCAACATTTAAATAAATAGCCGCAAACAATTTTATTTCAATAAATTCTTACCCATCTTGTTGGTGTTTCAAGCCATTTCCGTTTTGAACCAATGGCAAAGGCCGCTGCTCTATTGATGTTGCTCCTGCACTGTCAACGACAGTGGAAAAAAGTGAATCTCTCCTCTCTGCTGATGCCATTGAATGCTCCAAGTCCACATGGCTACCATCAAGACTGTGTCGGTGTTGATGTCGCTGTAAATCCGGCGAATGGATCTGCGAAGTGTTGTGACTATGACCGTGATGGTGATTATGGCTATGTTTGTGGCCATGATTGTGACTATGACTGTGGCCATGAGCTGCACCTATGCCACCTTCCGGCAGTTCAGTCGACGAAGTGTGTAAAATGGAAATCATACTGGAAATATTGAAAAATAAATATAACTAGATAAATATGACTAGAGTTAAATGGAATGTAACAAGTTGGTGCATTTTTATGCGGGCATAGATATAGAGTGCAGCATTTTTTTCATTTCATTTTTAAATGCAATTAAGTATTGAAAAACAAAATATCAGCACTGCCCTTCTACATTCATGGATTGAAATAGCATTGGTAAAAAATACAGGAAATATTTGCTAATTTTTTGATTCTGGTAAAAAGTACTAAAAGTACTCGATTATGGGAAAACACAGAAACTATGTCCTTGTCGTTCGGGGAATATAGTCTGAATATATCTGAATTTTACTTTACATGGGCGATATAAAAAAAACTGTATCTTAATTGAATATTTTTGATATTGGATTATTCCCGATGCAAAATCCAAAAACGAGAGCAAAAATTCTTTTTGATTTAAACTTAAAAATAATAATATTAAATATTTTTTTATTTTGGCCGGACTCCGACCTCTGTTGGACAACTTCAATTTCGAAAACAAATTTCAATTCAATTTTTGAAAATATTATGGATAGTAAAAAAAAAATATTTTAAATCAGGAAGCTATTGGTAAGGTTTTTATACAGTTTTAATCAGATGACAGCAAATGATTTATTTCACTTATTTTTTTTTTACTGTGGGCTTCGCAATGGCTATTTTAAGATATTTACTCACGTTTTTAATTACGTGGTTAAAATAGCCATATTGATTTCCATTCTTCAGTTTTTAATGGATCATTTGTTTGATTCTGAAATCCAAAGTGAACTTTTATTTATAGGGTAAAATATATGCTAACTCCAAGAGAGGTGTATTTCATACTCGATATTTTCCAGCCATACGGGTTATCATGCTAATATTTCGATCGGTTCATATGTGTTCTATCATCAACATAAATTATATAATGCTTTCAATTTCTAAAAACCATGTTCTCACTGTAAATAGGTTTCGCACATAAATAACAAGAGCAATAACAGCTACAACTTTGTCCATCTAATAAAAATAGAACGCTCACGGACAAGTACATCCACACTTACATGATATTAATTAAAATTCCAATGCCAGAAATGACCATCATGGTGTTGGCATCCAAGTCATAGTCGTTGGCATAGATGCGTTGAACGGCAACCAAAACCAAAGTTGCGGTTAAAATCCAAATGCCCAGGATCGATGCTAACGCGCCCATAACCTCTGTAAATAAACAAAAAGTACGGAGAGTTCAAAATAACACTTTAAACAAATTCTCATTACACAGACACTGGCAACGAATGCATAATCACGGCACACAGCCATCCAGCCAGCCATCCGATCAGCCAGCCATCCGACCAGCCAGCCAGTCCGAATGCAAATCTTTCGGATGCACGCCCGGAGGATGGTGGAAATGTTGTAATGCATACGAATTGCAAAATTCATTTATGTGTCTTAAATAAATAGAAAATATTAGCATTCTATTCGAAAATTAACATAATTCAATGTTACATACATAGACACAAACATGCATGTATGCATAGAAACACACACGTAAGTGTATACGTAATAATATACGAAAATAAACATTTTCCGTGAACGCATTTCAATTTTTGGAGGTTAGACATCCCATCAAAGTTCACCAAATGCAAAAGTTGTTGAAATGAATTTTATTTAATAAAATTTGGTTATACTCGAAATAAAATTTAGAAGGCCATTTAAACAGATGAATTGTTTTTTTTTTTGGTAATATTTACCAAAATAAGTTCGTATTAATTTGTCCTATGGTGCTTCAGAAATGGAAAGCTACGAAATAATTTAACACAGAATGTTAAAAAATTATTTAGTCGATATCTATGTAGTCAGATTTATTGGAGAAAAAATGTTACCCCATGTTGGGGTAAAATGACTCGGCCGATAAATCAAATCTACATTGGGTTTGCAGTTGTAGCTATGTTTCATGTTATATGTACGAGGATTGTTGCGTGTGATCCATATTTCCTGGAAGTTAACATGAAAGTAATTGACATCAGGACGCCAAAATCTTATTTGGCCTAGATCTTTTACACCTTTTTATACCCTCCATACTCCATAGTATGGAGGGTATATTAAGTTTGTCATTCCGTTTGTAACACTTCGAAATATACATTTTAGACCCCATAAAGTATTTATTGATCAGCATAAAATTCTATGTCGATTTAGCGATGTCCGTCCGTCTGTGGAAATCACTCTAGCTTCCGAACGAATTAAAGTAGATTGATTAAATTTTACTCAAATGTATGTTATGTCGGCAGGACTTTTGGTACTGAAAATGGGCCATTTAGGTCCACGTTTTGGTATAGCCCCCATAAACCGGTATGGTATTTTGATGATCTTAGCGACATTATTCACCGGAATTGTTTCAAATTTGGTATTTGAAGTTCATAATAGAGACCACAGCATAAGTCAGAAAAATTGTCTGTGCAGGTTCACCTTTTCGTATAGCCCCCATATAACGATACCTCCCGATATTCGGTACTTTGTTGATTTTAGTGACATTATTCACCGGAATTGTGTCAAATTTGGTATTTGAAGTTCGTAATGGATGCTGCAGTCTATGAAAGGAGATTGTCTGTGCATGTCCACGTCTTCTTATAGCCCCCATATAATGGTACCTCCCGATACTCAGTACTTTGTTGATTTTAGCGACATTATTCACCGGAATTGTATCAAATTTGATGTTCATAATAGATGCTAGAGCCTATGACAGGAGATTGTCTGTGCAGGTCCACGTCTTCGTATAACCCCCATATAACGGTACCTCCCGATATTCGGTATTTTGATGATTTTAGCAACATTATTGACCGGAATAGTTTTAAATTTTGTATTTGAAGTTCGTAATAAATACTACAGCTTAAGACAGAAAACTGTCTTTGCCGGTCCACGACTTCGTATAGTCCCCATATAACGGTACCTCCCGATATTCGATATTTTGATGATTTTAGCGACATTATTCACCGGAATTGTTTAAAATTTGGTATTTGGAGTTCGAAATGGATACTACAGCCTAAGACAGAAAATTGTGTGTGCCGGTCCACGTTTTCATATAGCCCCCCATATAATGGTACCTCCCGATATTCGGTATTTTGACGATTTTAGCTACATTGTTACCGATTTTATTAAGGTTTCGCATTTGAATATTGTAATGGCTTATGACAAATGTTACCTATGCCAGCCCGGCCGAACTTACAGCTTTTTTACTTGTTTCTGTTTGTAGCTAACTTTATGCAAATATATAAAAATAAAAAAAAATCACGGAGTTAAATTCAAAAAAAAAAAAAAAAAAAATTAAATTAAATTTGATAAGCAGAGCGATAATTTTTGGAGATTGCACTTGTCAACTGTAGATCTTATATCTATTTTGTATCCTCCACCATATGTTGAAGGAAATACTCTTCTAGGGTTATGTAAACTGTATATATTGGTAATCAGCGAAATATTCTAAACAATTTAAGTATGTTTGTATGTCACCCTTATTTTTGAAGGGATCAACCTAGGTGGCTAAAGTTTTGGTCCTAAGCGGGTTATTTTTTTTTTTCGTTCGTTCCCTCGCCTCTCACTCTCACCCCTGCCGACCAAGGGGCGACCTCCCCATACGTAGGGGGCGCGTACACAACAAAAACCGCGAATGATGGGTTAGTTGTGAGTTAGTGGTGCCAGCTACAGTCTAGTCCATCAACCGGTAACGTAATAGATAAAAATACACTATTGAGAAAGGAATTAGAGCAACACATAACACATATAACATTTATAACAAATAACTGTGAACATAATATGTTAAACAAAGGTACGCTATGTCTAAAAGTTTTATGGGAAAATGGAATGGAAAGCTACCTTTCGATTCCAGATATTTTAATGGTGTTAAGCGCTTTTTTAAATTTAACGGTTTGGTATAGTCCCCACATAACATCACCACTTTATATTGGGTACTTTAATGATTTAACAGGCATTTGTTTGTAACAGGCAAAAAGAAACGAGATAGACCCATAGTTCCTTTTGATGATCTGCATAGAATGACATTCTGAGTCGATTTATGCATGTCCGTCCGTCTGTCCATGTATTTTTGTAAACAAAGTACAGTTCGCATTTATTGCCCAATTCAGATGAAATTTTGCACAAACCATTTGTTTGGCCCAAGGACGAACTCTTTTGAAATTGGAGATAATCGGTCAAAATTTAGATATAGCTCCCATATATATCTTCGTTCGATTTGCCTTTTATTGTGCACCAAACGTGTAATATCAGGCCGAATAGTATGGAATTTTGCACGTTCGATTAGATTGGACCTGAAAATAAGTATGCCAAATTTGATCGAAATCGGTTCAGATATAGCTATAGCTCCCATATATATTTTTCATCCGGTTTGTTATTTTTGCCCTCCGCAGCCGTAATATGCACTCTGTAACAACAATATTTGGGGAAATATATCAAATACAGCTCAGAAATACATTTGCTAAACTTTATCGAGATCGGTTTAGATTTGGATATAGCTCCCATATATAACTTCGTCCGATTTACCTTTGTTTGTGCACCAAACTAATTCTAACTAGTCTAATAGTGGATGAAATTCGGCACTTACGACCGAATTGAGTCTAGAAGCTAGTAGCGGGTAGCGTGTGACGGTTTCATTGGCCGTTTGAAGGACATAATTCGTGTCAAAGGTGACCAATTCGAACAAATCTAAACTTATTCTAAAATTGGATGCTATTTCCGACATTTTTGCTTTCATTCAATAACATTTTAAAAAATGTAAAAATTATGGCGTTTGCCTTAGTTGCAGTTTTTTTATCTCACCCTGTATATGGGAGCTATAGCTTTATCTGAACCGATTTTCTCCAAATTTGATTTACTTGCTTCTAGACTGAATTGGGTGGGATATACCAAAAGACAGGTCATTTGTACTCATATTAGCCATGTGGGAGCTATAACTTAATCTGATCCGATTATCACAAATTTCAATAGGGTTCCTCCTTTGGTCAAACAAATATTGTTTGCAAAATTTCATCTCAATGGGATTGTAAATGCGACCTGCATTTTGTTCACAAGAATACATGGACGAACGGACTGACATGCATAAATCGACTCAGAAAGTGATTATATGAAGATCCTCAAAAGTAACTATGAGTCTATTTCGCTTCCTTCTCCCTGTTTCATACAAATGCCCAGAGACATAATACCCTTACCACTATGTGGTATAGCGTATGATGTTTGTGTGATACTGACACAGAAAAAACTAAAATCCGTTCATCCTTTCATAATAGATTATCGAGTGCGTACGAAGGCGCAGAACTCGATTCCTGAACTTGTCCAAATGGCAATCATTAAATTTTGAAATCTATTAATATACGCTTTTTTATAAATGTGGACCTTTTACTAATAAAGTTACAGGTAATTGCTACTTATCATGATAGAAGAATACAGGTAGTCGCATCGACACATCTGCTGGGACAATGAACTGTCAAACCAAATTTGCAATTGAAAATGTTGAATGAAAAATTATTCAAATTATAACAAACTCCGATTTGCATCTTATAAGAAAACATATAAAAATCTACTTATTTAAAAAAAGATTTTAAAATTTTTGGAATATCAATGTTCCCCACCGTTGATGCATCTACCTATATTCTTCTACCATGCTAGCTATACACCTAAGTCTGTTTTTACACGGTCTTTTTGTACACGGTTTTGATATAACACGGTTTGAAAATTGAATACTTTTAATTTATTTACACGATTTTATTCCATTTAGCACGATTTGAAATTTTATGTACTTAAAATTTTTTGTCAAATTTAATTTTTGCGAAGTATGTTCATATCACAAAAAAGTATTTATGAAAGAAAAAAGTCTGAAACCATCGATAGTATCGATAGTTTGCGAACACTAGCTTAAAGATTTAAGTGAATTCCCCTTTAGCGCGTACAAACAATTTTTACTGGTCAAAGCAAATGTGAATAGCACTATGTGCATACAATAAAATTTACTGATCAGAGCAATTGAAACGTGTTAATATTTTGTGAACTGTTAATGCAATAAGACGTGTTTGGTAAAGAAAAAAAAACTTCTTGTTTTTCACTAATTTTAATAGGTTTTAGAGATTAGGAACACATCACCCATTTTTGTATAAGATCAATGTCTTTTTTACACGGTTTTTTTTTTTACACGGCTTCTTCTGGAACCAATCTACCATGTAAAAACAGACGTAGGTGTATTAACAAATATGCAGTTTACATCCGTTCTTTATGTTGTTCACAATAAACGTTTCACGGCTTTTTTCTTTTTCGCCTGAAAGTATGCTCAACTTTTTCAAATAAGAAACCATTGCCTTCAATATCAAGAGTGTGCCTTTTAACATATAGAAGGAACAGAACAACGTTTTTAACGACATTTAAGACCAATTTTAAAAACTTGTATCTTTGAATCAATAGTAAACCGGTAAATTGATAGCTCATACGTATATACTATTGTATATTGAAATTTGAAAACAAAAATGATAAATCGAAATGATAAAACGTTTCATTCCATAACAAATTAGTTTAGCACAATGATCGGTTTTCATTGTCATTCTATTTCCTTTTTCCTCACATTTCCTAATATTTTGTACAAAGTACTTAAATTCATCGTATTCCCTATTCTTAACATTAAAGCCACCACACACTGTGACTCTGCCCATCTAATAGGGGTTCCGTTGATGTTCTCAACACACACTCACCTGCCTTCACCTTCCTAGCAAAAATTTACTGAAATGCACTTAAAATTAAGTAATATGTTGTTTGTGTTGGTAATGGTCAGAAATATGAATGTGCATGTGTGAGCCTCTGATTGTTGGTTAGAGGCGATTATGGCAGAGTTATACGTACCTAAGCGTTTGTATCCAAATGACATTTTTGCATCCGGTGGTCGGCTGCCCAGGCAGATTGCTACCAGACCAATAACGAAACTAATGCAATCTGATGCTAAATGTGCGGCATCCGTCATAATGGCTAAGCTTCCGGCAATGTAGCCACCCAGGAATTCAACAATCTATATGGAGAACAGCCGTAGCACCAGGAAGACCACCAGCACGCCCCAGTTTCGAACGCCAGTGGAGGATAGCAGAGGAAGAAGGAGCCGGAGCCATTGAAAAAGTTAACAAACGAGCCGAAAGCATTGAAAAAGAAATTGTTGTTGAAAACGAAAACAATAAATATGAGTGGATCTATGGATATTTGAGCATGTTTGTGGTATGTTCACCGGAATGTAGGTGGTGGTCGGTCGGTGGTTATGTTATCAACATTCTCATACAATCGTTGCACAAGCACATGTACACATTTAAAGAATATAAAACCAAAAAAAAAATGAAACAAAGCTTTGTTGGACATTAAAGTGGTATCAAAAATAAACCGTTTCTAAAAAATACACCATTACAAAGACGATATATCGTAACAACGATTGCGAGTCTGTAGTTAAGTAAAATTAAATACAATTCTAATTTTTTATACTTAATATTCTTCATTAAATCTGTGAAAAAGCACCCCAACACTGAAAACCGCGAACAATATTTTATTGCCCACAAAAGGCTTATTTAATAAGTTCATTCACCAACGTTCGCCATTATTAAGATAAAGTTCATTGATTTCGAATTATTCGAAGAATCGAAATTCAAATCGAATCGAAAAAAGTGCAATCACATTAATGTTTATGCATCTGAGGATGAGAGTGTTTAAATAACGTCCAACAAACATACGTGGCTAAGTAAGAACAATATAACACAAACAAACACAAATACATATGCACGTACACGTACACAGATACGAGTATGGATGTAAGCATGGCTTTGCCGTTGATCTTCTACAACAAAGAGCTGGGAGCACTTACCATAAATATGCAACACATACCGACGGCCCAGAGGATTTTTGATTTAGCGGTCTTAGTGGAATTGCTGCTGAGGTTGGATGCAAATCCTTTTTGTTGGCACAGGCAACCGTATTCCAAATCATCCTGTTATGGAATAGAACACAATTAAAATAGCGCAAAGAATTACTCTACATTGCAAATAAAAACGTAATTACAACAAACGTAACGTAAACTTTAATTGGCATCACGCGCTGGAGGAATTTATGAATAGCTTTGTGAGAATTTCATATTTGTACTTACGTCGTCCACAAACTTACACACACACACACACACACACATCTACGGACGTATAAGTAATGAAAAATACGTTATCATTGTTCGGTTTAAGTGATGTAAATGGAATGATTTTTTTTGCAGGAACGAAGCTAATTGTCTATTTACCATTACGGACCATTGGTAAGGAAAGGAGGAACAAATAAACGTTAACTTTTTTAATTGTAAACAAGATATGTGTATGGAAATTCATCTCCAAAAGTGTAGGAGTTCGAATAATATTACCTGGGCAGTTGTCTGAGTCAAAATTGTGTACTAGTTCGATTCGATAAATCCGTGTGACTTTCCCTCTTTTTGCAATATCTTTGCAAAAAAAAATCCTCTAAATTGTTGTATTTTCAAAATCAAATATGTGTTGGAAACATTTCAAATGTTTTTCAAGTATTGAAAATGAGCTACACAATGCCATGCCTGACGAACTTTTAATATATTTCTAATAATATAAATGTAGTTTACTGAAATACAGTATTTTGATCAAAATCAGTTAATTTGCACCATTAAAAATAATTAACATGGAAGCTGTGCTATAGTCAACGATACAAAACAGGTAAAAGTGATTTGAAGCGAACAAGATGTTTTATATTATTCACCATTTTTTACATAGACTACGCTATACATGGATTTAGCCTATGTTTTTTTTATCTTCGAAGAGAGGGTATATCAAATTTGTCATTTCGCTTATGACACCTAAAATATTCATCGGAGATCCCATAAAGTATATTACACATGATCAGCATAAAATTCCAAGTTTATTTAACTACGTCCGTCTGTTGAAATCACGATACAGACCACATCATTTGACGTAGAGCTTGAACACAATAGTTTTGTACTGCCAAAATAAAACTGTGTCTATGATAGCTGGACTTGAAAATGAGGTATATCGGTCCATGCTTACGTTTGGCCCTCATATAAGGGTACCTCCTGATATGTGTTATTTTGAAGATTATAGTCAAAATTTTACACGGAATTGCTCAAAACGTCCACGTTTTACTATATCACATATATAGCGATACCTGCCAATATTCTGTATTTTGATCATTTTATCAATTTTTTTCATGATTTTATTTTTAATTTGGTATTTAGAGTTTGTAGTTCATAATTTAAACATTCGATGTGTGTATATACATGTATGCCTATACTCAGCATCCTTTGAAAACAACATTCAATTATTTATTTTATATTCAGAGGTTTGCTTTCACAACATCACTTTTGTTTGTATTTTAATTTACCCAATTCCGCATTTCAATGTGTTCAAATTCGTACAAATAATTTACAAATGCTTATTTTGAATTATTTGTATTCCAGCCGAAACTATGGCAAATGTTTATACAACATTTTGAAATACACTGAACACACAGAAAGAACCTCATTATATTTGTGTCTGTCCTTTGCGAATTGATTTGAATTGAATTAAAACAACTCATTTTGTTAATTGATGCAATTGTGCGATGTAAATGTTTTTATTAGAAAACAATCGCAATTATTTATTGAGAGTAAACTTTGTCTTTTTTTTGTTTTCAGCTTTGTTTGCTTAAAACACAATTTGAAAAATATTCAGTTTAATTTTTGTAAGCATTGCGGATTCGAATTAAAACATGACGTAGAATTCCACGTCTAGAGTTCATTTATTTTATATGCCCTTCTGTCAAATTATTGCAATATAATAAATTCGATATAAAGATTAATCTTGGTTTAAACTTGGAATTTTCATTGGAAGTTTTGTTTTTTGTCATAAGTATGGTTTTATCTCTAATAACATTTTTTGATTTGAATTTTTATAATAGAAAAAAATATTAGTGATTTACGAAAAAATCTGGATAGAAAAAAAAAAACATTTACGGATTTAATGTTAAATACAATTTCGTTTCGACAAACTAAAAAATTATAATAATTTTGATTTATACATTAACAGCGGGCGACTGCTTTGGTACCAAGGGCTAAATTTGGGCTATAGAGCAATGTAAATAAGATTCCGTTAAAAATTTAATTTTGTTTTCAAACTGGTACTAGGTCAATCCTCATTTAATTATTAAGTCCAAATTAGAAAAACCTTTTATTGATAAATGTTATGTAGCCATTGATTAAAAAGCACATGAATAGGGTAAGTGTACCAGTAGTCGGCACTTTTAGGATTTTTGCTTTTTTAATCGCTCACCACTGAGTGGAACTTTTCAATTATTACAAAGTTAATTTATTCAGATTCGAAAATTTGTATAGTTTTTGCAATAATAAATAGAGTTTTAATAACATTTCATTAAATTTCATAAATTTGTAGTTTTATTAAAACAATGTTTTTTGCCGGTAGTCGACACCAGTTTCCAATTGTCGGTATGGCATGTTCCAACAGTCGGCATACCAATTTTTTGTAAGAATATTTAATAATAATAATAAATTAATTCATTAAAATATAATATTTTTGTTTAGTTAAACTGATTCGACGTCTTTATTGTACTTTTCTTAAGAATATGGATTGTTGAGGATCTTCACAGACAAAAATTTAATTTTTATTAGAATAAATCATCTTTTCTTTGCGAAATTGTACACAAAGATAGCTGACAATATATTTGTTTCATTTATTTGGGCTTAAAAATAAGAAGTGCCGACTACTAGGACATGCTGAACTTAGGCACACTTACCCTATGTGTTTTTCGGTGGAAAGTAATAGTTGTCTGAATCAATCGTAGTAATCTACGCCAGAAAGATATCCATGAAATAGCTGATGTACATTTGTTGATTTTAGAATACGACCATTTAAAAGTAATTTCAAACTATTCACTTGTTTTGCATCAAATGTTTGATTGAATTTTTGAACGACGTATCATTAAATTTAAATCCCTTAGAACTTGACTTTAATATAAGATACGCCGTTAATTCTCGTTAGAAGCACAGTAATGTCTTTAGAAAATTAAAAGTGCAGTACAAAAGAAACAAATAAAAGGAACGAGCTGCACCTGATATTAGCGACCATTAAGAAGGCCTTTTACAGGATGTTCAGGGTCATCCAGAACACCCTCCATCGCATTGAGATGAGTTGAGATTTAAGCTACTTGGTTTGTTATTTTGATGTTTCAAAATAGTCAGGCTAAAATCCATTTTTGTTGTTTTTATGAAAATTTTCTTTAATTTTTTGGTTCCTCTTCTTTTGACGATCGTCACAGGGATATAAATAAGCTTTCGAATAACTAGTTAAGGTTAATTAAAGTCTTACAACAGCATCAACAATTCATCGTATTAAATAACGTTTTTTCGTTTGCCTGAGCAGAATCTCTACAGGTTTGTTAGGATTTTCCGTGGAAAAATTTGGTTAAAAACAAAAAACAATCTAATAGTGGGCGGTATTGCTATGTGAGAGCTAAAGGAAACCGGGAATCAATGCATACAATAGTCTGGTACCCGCGCTAGTAACCATTACAAACTAAAAACTTCAAGCAATTTCGTGGAAAACTGGGATGGTTGGTATAGAAAATAAGGTGTATTTCTCCACGTTTTCGTATATCTCCCATATAGCGGTACCTGCCGATATTCGGTATTTTCATGATTTTGGTCTAATTTTTCCTCGGAATTCTTCCAAGATTGGTATGAAGAGTTTGTAATGAGGTTTAAATTCGATATTTGTAGTTCATAATGGGTTCTACAAATGGTGTCAAAACTTTGTCCATATTGGTCCACGGTTTCCGTATTACGGTACTTACCGATATTCGGTATTTATTAGTTCCTAGCCATATATTTCCACAGGATTTTTTCAAATTTGTATTTAAGACTGGAAATAGAAATAATCTTTCTAGTAAAATATTTTCTGTCTTATAATGTGACCTCTACATTACGGTTACAGCCACTTTATAATACTTCGAAAGTTTTAACTGCATTCTCCAACCGATCTCACTGGTATTTGCAATTTAAAGTGGAACACGTTTGAATCCAGTCTTTATTTAAAATTGTTTTTTGCCTATTGGTAGAGGGTATTAAAAATTCGGCAAGCCGAATTGAATGTTTTTTAACTTATTATACATAAGATTGAATTCAACGTAGAATTAAGTCTTCCAAATTGCAGCAGATTTAATTTTTAAGCTACCCGCAGGTCGTCAATTGTTACTGATATCAATAATATTTGTGCCAGATATTTTATGCAGCCTAAAAACATTAAGTGATGAATAGGCGACCACGTGCCAACCTACACCATTTTGCGATATAGATTTTGAAGAGGATTTCCTTTTGACAAACTTATAGATCATAATTATTGTAATAATTATACCCAACAACACTATCCGTGGATGTGTGAAAAATACTTAAATGTTCAATCAACCGCAATATTATTAATGCTGTAAGTCAAATACAGCCGAAATCATATACAGACTGAAAGAGCACTTTTGACTTTTATATTTATGCTGATTTCGTTGTCTATAAAGTCAGTTATGAGAAATATAGCAAAATATATACAGAAATTAATTTTTAAAATACTATTTCGAATACCCGTTACCACGACAGAAGGTGGAAATATATGACAAATGCCTATTGGTATAACCCTATTATGAGACTTTACGACATTATTTCAAGAATGAAATGGCCCAAGTGGGATAATATCTTAGGAAATTCGTTCATTCGTCAAATCACATCACATCTACATAAATGTAACAGTTCAATACAGTATTGTAGGGTATCAAATAGTCTCAAAATAGTATCAAAATAGTTTTTAAATTTAGAATTATAAAAGATCAATGCTTTGATATTGCACCAATTTTCTCTCCAGTGTAAATTACGTTTGCAACTAATTTTTCTATGACAGTACACACAGAAATGTCTAAAAACGGAAATATTTATTTTTAAAATTAAATTTTTTTCTACAACTATCTTTCTTCCCTGCTCACAACCATCCATTTCATATTCGGACACTCATGCTCTGTACCAACGTTATCCATTACTTTGTAAAAAATATTTTTATTAGCCTACTGGTAATGATAAAATGATACTTTAGTGTGTTGTTAGGATCTTGTGTGTCCCACATTTTTACTGCGTTTGAATTATTACTATTAAAAAAGCACAAAAGCAAGTAAGTTCGCCGTGCCAATATTTAGTACGTTTCACCAGTTAGAAGAAGAAAAATGTAAAAAAGTTCGTTGATAAATGCCGTTAAAATGCTTGGAATATCCTAATATCAAGTGTTACAGTTATGTTGAATTTTAAGTAAACGTGGACCTCTATAGCCAGTTATATGGCAGCGAGGACGGTGCCTCTTACGAACTACAAATATCAAGTTTGGTATAGTTCTGTTGAAAAATGTTGCTAACATAATAAAAATATCGAAAAATGTCGTTATATGGGAGCCAACGAAGACGTGGGCCTGTAAAACATATTTTCTCTCAGTGGATGTGGTACCCATTACGAACTCAAAATACCAAATTTAGTACAATTCCGGTGAAAAATGTGACGTAAATCATAAAAATACTGAGTATCGGGGTTACTGTTATATGGGAACTATACCAAAAATTGGACCTATATGTATGTACAGTTCTCTGAAAGGATGTTTCCTACATACTGGCAGAACATATTCAAAATTTACAGCAAATTAAGTTGGATATTGTGACTTAAACACCAAAAACCTTAAATTTTAAACAATTCTGGCGAACAAGTGTGACACAAACAATCAACATATCGAATATCGGAGGTAAAGTTTTAAAATTATACCTTAACCCTCAACCTATCCCAGTTTGTTAAAATATGTTTTGACTCACATTATGGTTATTTAAAATGTTGACACTTTATGGAGGAGACACCGCGTGAGGTACCAGATATATTTATCTAAGAGAATGAAGAGAATCAGACATCTATAACCATTTTTTTTGGAATAATTGTTAATTATTATTTAAACCTTTTGATAGATTGCATATTCACCTCTGATCATAGCATTTATGACAGATATATGCATTGCAAATTCTGAACTTTTGTGGGAGAGGTACAAGAAGGGGTAGGCCGATATCGGGGAGGTACCAGAAGAAGTAATCCCACATATTCCATCTTCATTCCTGGTCTTGTGTTGATAGAAATGTTGCGATGTGCTGAGTTTGAAAGGAATCGGATGCTCATTTCACGATTTTCGAGCTTCATGGCTATTCAAAATTTTGACCCGTTATGTGGGAGGTACCAAAAGAGGTAGACCGATATATCACATATCCGGTTCGATCTCTACCATTATATCTTGTGTTGATGGAAATATTGATATGTACCAAGTCTGAATGGAATCGGATGTTAATTTCGCGTTTTATGAACTTCAGGGATGGAGTGGACCGATATATTTCATCTTCACAGCAGATCTTCTGTTAGTAGACATTATTGGATGTGTGAAATATGAGAAATAAATAGTTATAGAAATATAAGAGTTATAATTATTCAAAATTTTGACCTTTTGTGGGGGAGGTACCAGAAGGAGTAGACCGATATATTCACACCAGACCTAGCACTGATGCAAATATAAGGATTTGCAAAGTTGGAGTAAAATTGGATTATCTTTTTTCTTTCTGTGCAGTAAAATATTTTTTTTTTGTTTTGAAAATTTCGACCTTTTGTGGGTGACGTACCAGAAGAAGTGCACCGATATTGCTCATCTTCGAACTCGATCGAGTGTTATTTATATTTGAAACAATTCCCAAATTCCGCTGCTATAACCATAAAAATACTGAATATGGGGAGTATACGAAGACGTGGACCTGTATAGGCTGTACAAAATATAACTAAAGTCAACAAAATGCCGAATATTGAGATGTACCATTATGTGGGGGCCATGTGAAAACGTAGACCGACATGGTCCATTTATAAGCTGAACCTGCCTACTGCCAAAACACACATATGTGCAAATTTTTAACTTTCTATCTCAGTTCGTTCCAAAGGTAGTGTGATTAAAATAGACAGAAAGGCGAATACCGCTATATCGATTTAGAATTTCACTCTGATCGGGAATATATACATTTTGTTGAATCTGACGTGATTATTTCTAGGTGTTACAAACGAAATGAGGAGGATATAAAAATTGGCCTATTATTTTCACCTACTAGTAATGCAAAAAAGTAGTTTGTTTACAATATCTTTTAATGGGTTGTTCGGCTCTTACGGCTCCCAAATTTTCGTTGGGTGTGAAATAGTACGACAACCCTCAACTTGCCGATTGCAATTATGTTAATTGAAGACATTCCAGCGCGTGATTTTTTTCTTAAATTGAAAACATTTATGAATGAATGCATACATTGTTTTATACATACATAAACATACCTACACACATGTACATATATGCACCATGTAAACCTATGTAGGCTGATATTTATTTACCTTTTTATTGTAGCTTTCAAAGTGATTACTGTTGTTGTTGTTGATACAGTTGTCAGCATCGACGGTACTGCGTTGAAGTAGTGGTATTTCCATTGTGTTGTCGTCAAAGTCGAGCCCTGCAATAATTAAATTATTGCTGCCGCTGCTGTCCCCGCTGTCATTAATAGTTGTATTCCTATAGGTAGCGATGCCATTCATATGTTTGGCACTGTTGTTGTTGCTTGTGGGGTGTCTGGTACTGTTTTTGTTGTTCATGTTGTTTGCATTACGTTCCCGGACGACGGTGTCGTTGTACTGAATGAGATCTTCCACCTGATAATGGCTGTTGTCATCGTTGTGACGATGACGGCGATCATCATCACTGGTGGGGAATATCGCAAAGTTCTCGTCGTCTGTCAGTGTTGCCGTAGAATCGTTGTTTGATAATTTCTGGTACTTTGACATGATGGCGTGTTGCTTGGGTTGCCGATCCACACAATTTCGATGTTCTAGTTGTAGACGTTGTAAATGCTTGGATATTTCGTGTTTTCCTCATTTATTTGATTGTTGACGTTAACAATTTTATTAATTTACACTGGTAATTTATCGGCAAGTTAATTATTTTGTTGCTGTATGTTTATTTATATTATCGTCATTCACATTGAACGTTATAATGTTGTTGTACGCTTTTGGTGTTTGTTGCTGTTAAATTCATTAATTTATTATTAATATGCAATATATCGGTTGGTTTGTTGTTATAAATAACTGTTATTCGCTTTGAAAAATATAATTAATACAATCTGATTACACCAATGAATACAATTGTGCACAAATAGACATAGGTATATTTTATGTGTATTAATTTTCAGCAGTAACAATTCAAAATCTGCTATATTAATAGGGATGCGTTTAAAGCACTTAATAAACCGATTATCGTTTCCAATTTCAAGTTTTTTACTCAAATTATTTGTAAGCCGTAAGAAAAAAGGCAATCCGCCATGGATTATGATACGTTAACCCTACTCGTTCGCACATCTTATATGGATTTTCCTGTTTTCCGCTTTTCACAAGATCGCGAGAACAATATGACACTAATTATTCGACAGGTTACAATGACTTTGTTTTATAAAAAGTATATATTTGAATTGTTATTAGCGTTTTTACTCTTTGCTTTTGGCTTCACATAGCTTCATTAACTCGTGTTTTCAGCGATTATTTGGCGGTTTTTTTCTCAAGTGGAAAACACTCATAAATATGCATAAGTTCGATGTGAAATAAAACATGATAACACAATTTTATACGAAACTTCAAAGCGCTAAGCAATGGATATTAAATTGCAATAGCTTTGAGGTAGTTTTTAAAATAAAACAAAATTTCATGCTACTTTTAGGTGCCAATTGAAAAAAATCTGAAGAAAAATTGTCCTTTTAAAGTGACACTGTGTTGCATCAACACTCGTAATGTAGGCTTTGACTCTAAAATTTTGGAAAGATTTAGACATTTGACGTCTTTAATGACCTATAGCAGAATTTTATGACAAATACTATTGTAGAATATTTTGAGCTGCTTTGATATCGATTAAAGGGAGGTTTTAGCAATATTTTCAAAAAGGACCAGAAAAGACCTCTTTGTTGACTAGCTTGATGGTTAAAATTGTCGATCAAAATAATCCTGGTGTTTTATTTAGAGTATGTGCGATGCAATCTTTCAAAACGCCGATACACGTGCCTTCTATTCTTAGCTCTATTTCATAGTCTGTAGGATTATCCCAGTAGTTATTGAAAAAATTGTATTTTGTCGCACTGTGCTATTATGTTATGGAAGTTGGACATTTAAAATTTGCAAAAACAACAATTTGTCACTTTGGGTTGATTGTGAATATACTTCATATCAGCTGAAATGGGTTTAACAGTCTTTACTAACCGAATCCGAAATAATTTGGCAATTATAGTTATAAGAATATAGCAACATTCACAAGTTAGAACTTGGTCTTGTCGATTTATTTAAGTGGAGCCACCAGGAAGATTTAAAGAAAATCGGCGAGTACTAAAAGGAAAGGGTCGACATTGATCTTCTGGGCATACACAATACCTCTTCATAATATATCTAATGTTGATAGTAAATGAAAAGTCGTAAGAACCTTTGTGTGACCTCTATAGGAGAAGTGTTTCATATCGTTCATATCGTTTACCGAAAAATAATCCCCAATTACGTAAATTGAAGTCGCTCTAGTCGTGTCCGTCTGGTATCATCCGAATTAATTGAAGTTTCATATATCGTAATATCAGACTGGGATCAGGTGTGAAATCCGAAAACATCGTGTTCAAATTTTGAAAAGCCCTTGATTTTCCTCTGGATATAATAGATAGGATATATCAGTTTACTTCTAATAACTAATCTTGGTATAGCTCCATATATCATTGAATCAAAGATATGGAAGATTAGAGGTTGGACATTTCATATTCACCAAATGGATATATTTTTTTTTGTTTCGATATCATGACAAACACAAACACATCTAGCGACAATTTTTCAAACTAAAATCTTCGGTTATTTGGAACTAGTGTTTTTACTATTGGAATTCCGTTGCCTCTTTATATTTTCTACACAATCAAATGTTTCATAACATTTCATTTACAATTTTAAATCTTTGTTTGCTGATGATTTTCACTTTCCATATCCGGTATATGCGATGTTGGATTTAAATCATTATTTTTATTTTTAATGTTTAAATAAATTTGGCGTACTTTATTTTTTTAATTTTTGGTTTGTATTTTTATTGTGGTTTATATTTTGTTAACCAGTGTAATTCATGTTGACAATTTTCATATTAATTCATTATCATACTACTGTGAAGCATAACGACACTTTTATTGTTTACGCAAAATAACCGATAAACAGTCGTGAAGGGCTTCCAAATTCCCAAATCACACGATTACGAAAATACTTTGTTGATCACTGAGTGCCCGCCAATATAAAAGTGAATATAGTCGTTTTATCACTTAATCACACCGAGTTAATTACATTTGTTTTGATGTATGTATGTATGTCGGTACTTTAACGATTTACGACAATGAACAAAATATAAAAAAAAACGAATACAAAACAATCGAATGGGTGATCACACCCTGGCGCGTTCACATTTCCTACTGACTGAGTACAATCGCCTCTGGGGAAGACAAAGTGGTTTTTCGCTTTGCCTACTTCCTCTGACTAGCACTCAAACCGCTCAGTTTGATATCCCACATTATCGTTCGTTGAACACAGTCGCATGCTTATCACATGCATTGAACATTTTCTCATAAAACCGACTGCAAAGAGAACAATGTGATCGTGTTGGTTTGTTTAGTTGTGGGGTGGGTGGTGTTTACCAGTGTTCCCACATTATTAGTACGCTCAGGTATTTTACCGATTTTAACATTTGCAGAACATAAACGGTAACAACACCTCGAAATATTCGTTGTAGACCTATTTTAAGGGGTTCGTTCATGATCAGGGTAAAATTCGTGTAGTTGAAATCACGATAGAGCTTACACTATTAATTTGCAAGGTCATGGATTTTTGTTATTAAAAATTGAATATATCAGAAGTTGCCGTCTCTACGTTCAGAGCCATTAACCCGTCTTCCTAAAGCAGCACTAAAACAAGTGTATGCATTGGAAGCAATGTAGTTGTTGTGGACAAAAAATCCATCACTACAAAAAAACAAAACGTTGCTGTGAAAAAGATCTGCCAATAGAACTTGAGTCGAACCTGGAGAGTTTCTAGTGTATAATTCGCATATGCTAATTTGCAATAAGTTCGAAATATATACTACTTTCCAGAGAACGGCCCTTGTAAGCCATCATCCACATCAAATATGCCTGATGAGCCGCTTAACCAACGGCGAAACGCGTCGCATAGTGGTGAGTGTGTGATAGTGTCTATCTGGCTTTCCTTTTCACTGCAAATTTCAGATCATTAAGCTCGTCTCGAAAGAGAAAACAAACACTTGAATATATCACGTTTATAGCATTCTATATAATGGTGCCACCTGATTTTCGATACTTAGAAGGTTTTGGTTTCCATTTCCAACTTTTTTTGATATTTCGGTATCTCAATGGGTAGTTTAACGCTTCGTGAGAAATATTCTAATTAGATCCAGTTTTGACCCACATAACGGACTCAATTTAACTCATATCCGCTGTAATTTAATATTTGGGTGCCCTTGTGAATAGATTTATCTTTCGCAAAACATATTTAACATAAGTATAAATATTCGTTTTTAAAACACCTGGCAGCACTGATAGTGAATCTCTCTCTCTTTCTCGTAAGCGATTATAAAACAAAAATAATCTACCACACTTCAATAAAAGTGCAGTCGGTTTGTGAAAACAGAACATAAATAGCGGGCAATGATTAGTTTACGACCAAAGCGATACACATCCCATTCATCACTTTAGGACGAGGTGAATGGTGTCGGTCTTGCAGGAGGTATTTTTAAACTAATTCTAATAAAGTTCAAGGCCTATGAACACTCACGTGACAACGAAATTTATTGGGCAGAGATTTTATTTTTGAAGTCCCTACGAAAGATAAACTAAAATAAAATTTGCTACATATATTTGATCTACTTCAAAATGTACCTACATAAGTATTAGAATAATAATTTTTTTTCAATACGAGTAGGGTGTCACTTGCCCTTGTGCTAAGTCATTGAGTGTTATATCCTATAACACTGTGTGTTGGGGGTATTATAAGTTTGATTGGGACAAAAATTATGTAACACCTCGAAATATTGGTTTCCCACATAGGAAAGCATATATGGATCTTCCTGTTTCGCCGAGCTGAGTCGATCTAGCTATGTATGTCAGTCTGTCCGTCTGTCCATGTTAATTTGTAATCTCTACAGGTCGCAATTATGGCCCGATCTTCTCGAAATTTAGAATTGGGGTGGGGCTATTGCTAGAATAGAAGCCTATTGCTTTTGGAGATAATCGCATAATATTTTAGGGTTGAAATGGAAAATTTGAAAATTTTCATGATTTTGCAGTTGTTCTACAGGTCGCAATTATAGACCAATCGATGCGGAATTTAACGTGGGGCTAGAGCTTAGGACTGGGCAGAAGCCTTCCAAATTTGATTTTGATTTGGTCATTGGGTAATATTTAGTGGGTGAAATAGATCATAACATTTGTTTTAAATAAAAGTCAAATTTTCCGTTGAACTGACAGTGACGTAGATGCAGATAGTAAATATATCGGATATATATATATATATATATATATATATATATATATATATATATATATATATATATATATATATATATATATATATATATATATATATATATATATATACAAAGGAAAGGGATGCTAGCTAGAATGCTTATATCTCAAAAATGGCTGGATATCGCATAAAAAGATGCTAATAATGATAATTATTTTTATTTTTTTACATTTTTATCGCAATTTTTTAATTTTACTTATAATATTGAAGTGTATATTTTGTAATATTTTTCCCCTTACAACACAGGTTGGGGTTATTATATGCAGATTGTAATTATCGTTCGATCCTCACGAAAATTTTCACAAGTGTAGGGTTAGGGGTTAGGACACGAAATCTCGCTAGGCGATATCCGAAATACACAAAAGACGAACTTCTGGCATTTATGCTGATCTCGTTGACGAATGTAGGCAAATATTGTAGATAAGCAAATCATATAGATGAGTCTAAATTTGGAGATACAGAGGGGCCTCTTGCTTTAGGAGATGATCGCAAAATATTTAGCTGTTCAAATGAACTAAAAAAAATCTGAATCTAATCGACACGCATGAGAAGAGAGGGAAGAAGTCTAGTATTTTTGGATGACCATTGAATTATATTTAGTTGTAAAATGGACCACAACAACTAACGGAACGAGGGAATGCGTAAATATTGGACAAATGTCCCTGGTTAAAATGCTAAGGGTAATAACAGGGCAGTTCTCCGTGACATAATTTCAAAAACGAAATCTTCCAAAATGGATATGGACATAAAGGGACTTCTAACATATTATAGTGTCCCGCACGACTATAGCTTTTGCTTACTTGTTTGCTATACACTTAATTATTAACTTATTTTATTATACCCTCCACCATACTATGGGTGGTATATTAACTTCCTCATTCCGTTTGTTACTCCGCAAAATACGTACGTGAAACCTAACAAAGTATTGATCAGCGTTAAATTCTTAGTCCATTTAGCGATATCCGTCCGCCTGTCTGTTGAAATCACTCTATTTTTTTGAACAAATTGAGATAGAAGACTAAAATTTTGCAAACATGTGTATTTTGTCAATAGGTAGGTCAAGTTCGGTGTTTTTATGGTGTTAGAGACATTATGGACAGGAATAGTTTCAAATTTCGTATTTAAAGGGTTTTAAAAGTTTTTAAAAGGGTTTTAAAAGTTCGGGCCGGCCGAAATTAGCTGTTTTTATACCCTCCACTTTGAAAAGGAGGGTATATTAACTTTGTCATTCTGTTTGTAATATCCCTAAATATTCGTCGTAGACCCCATAAAGTATACATATTTATATTCAGCATAAACTTTTAAGTCGATTTAACGATGTCCATCTGTCTGCCTGTCTGTCTGTTGAAATCACGATACAGTCCTCATTATTTGACGAAGAGCTTCAAAATTTGGCAGAACGATTTGTATTGTGTCTAGAATGGTTGCTACTGAAAACGAAATGTATCGGTCTACGTTATGGTATAATCCCTGTATAACGGTACCTTCCGACATTCGGTATTTTGGTGATTTTGCCGCATTTTTTCACGGATTTGTCTAAAAATTGGTTGTTATAGTTCGTAATGAGTTCTAAGTCTGCTGGCGGAAAATTGTATGTATAGGTACACGTTTTGGTATAACCCGTTACCTCCCGATATTCGATGTATTGATGATTTTTGCCACATTTTTCCACAGATTTGTCTAAAATTTGTTATTTGTATATCGTATTGGGTTCTAGCTTTGGTGGCGAAACATTGTATATATAGGTCCACGTATTTCCACATTTTTTTCCAGGGATTTGTCTGAAAGTTGTCATTTGTAGTTCGTAATGGGTTCTAGCTCCGGTGGCGGAACATTGTGCATATATGACCACGTTTTCGTACATCCCCCATATAATGGTACTTCCGATATTCCGTATTTTCATGATTTTTTTTGCCATGGATTTGTCTAAAAATTGGTATTTTTAGTTTATAATGGATTCTAGCTGCTGTGACGAAACATTGTATGTATAGGTCCACGTTTTTGTATAGCCCCATATAACAGTACCTCCCGATATTTGGTATTTTGATGATTTTTGCCACATTTTCCCACAAATTTGTCTAAAAAATGGGATTTGTGGGTCATAATGGGTTCCAGCTCGTATGGCGAAACATTGTTTGCATAGGTCCCCGTTTTTGTGTAGCCCCCATATATTGGTACCTCCCGATATTCGGTATTTTGATGATTTTTGCCACATTTTTTCAAGGATTTGTCTAAAAATTGGTATTTGTAGTTAGTAATGGATTCTAACTGCTGTGGTAATCGAATTCTATGTATAGGTCCACATTTTCTCATAATGGTACATCCTGATATT